ACATTAAGAAAACTGTCCCAAATATGAGTAAGTGTGTCATGATAATCTGCGTTAAGGTTCATGAAGGATAACACACACACAAGAATGCCAGGGCCCCAGGGAGGTATTATGCGTGCATCTTGGAAGATTTCCTGCAAGAGGTGCATCTCAAAGCAACAGAAGTAGGAATTTGTTGCCGAGGAAGACCAGAGTGGGAGTTGCTAAGTATTGACTGCAGAAGCTACAGGAAGAGGGATTCTAGGACCAGAACACCTCCCGCTGCTACCCATAGAAGAACCACATCTTAACATGACGTTTAGGGAGAGGACATTCTCTTCTCTTACAGGACCCAGAGAGCCTGGACTGGGGTTTTCCCCATTCTCAGACTTACTCTGTGAGAATCTGACTTCTAGTCTGACAACATGCCTCCCTGTTGTGACATCCTTAAGCTCAGCAACAAACACATATGGTACTCATCATTCTTTTGAGACTCCAGATTCACCAGAAAAAACCCAAAAACCAAAAAACTGTAGCTCAGGTGCCAAAGATGAAACAGTCTTCCAGCTAGGGCAACCTATATCAACCAGGAATGACACTTTTAGATGCGCTGGTAAGTTCCTAATGTCCACACATGTGCCTGGGACACTTAGATACCTTACCAGATGTCCAGTCTAAATGAATACAAGACACCCACTTCTTTCTTGGCAGAGAAGCAACTATCTAGGACATAGAGTCTAACAAAATGAATCAAATGCTGTGCCTGACTTACAGGGTCCTAAGGGTCAGCCTTACTCTGTGATCTTTTTTGCTAGGTAAGGTACTTTATTCTTCCCAAGTCCTGATCATCTTAGTAATCTCTAAGAGCTTCCAAACTTGCCATCCCGGAATCAACTCCCTGGATGCCAAGGGAAGCCAGATCCAGGTTTCCTGACTGACAGACGGGGTGATCCCAGCTGAGCTGAGACAACTGCGCATGTGGCAGAGATTACTTCCATTAAATTTGTTGTTAAAAAATACAAGATGGAGATAAACTTTCCTCTACTGGAATCACCATCCCTGTCACGTCCTGTCATGCTGATGGCTCTCTTCAGTCTCTCTTGGTTCCAGAAAGATCCACTCTGTTGGAGGGCTCAAGCCTGGTCTTCCTCTACTGCTAGACAGTTTCCTTTTCCAGATGAACTGTAATGATTTATACTTGGGCACGGCATAGCAGTTGTGACAGCAACAAGGGCGTGTCTTCATGTCATGGCAGAGGTTCCGAAACCTTAGTCTAAGTCTAAATCAACGGGATTTTAAACAGGTTTCCAGGAGGCTGGGTGTGGCTCAGTGGTGGAATGCTTGTTTTGTGTGGACCCGTGGGATGTGTATTTCTAGAAAGTTCCCTGATCATGTTCACGTTGCTGGTGTGGGGGGCCACATTGTGAATCATCACCTTGCAGACAGCTTGATAGAGTAGTAAAGTACTAAGTGTTAACTACAAGGTACTTTGATGGGCAGAGGAAACCCCAGGAGCTCTACCCAGGCCTTATAAATAAGGAAAAAATTGAATTGCATTTCTTTCCTTCCTCAGAGTCAGAAGCAGTCAATAAAATAAATGACAGAGGTATCCAGTGCTAGGGGAGCTGGGCTCAGTGGCCGGACAGAGAGATAATTGGGACTGCTCCCAGTGGGGTGGGGATCCTGGATGACTTTTGGTCTTTAAGAGACAATGGAGCATAGATAACTCACAAGGAGGGTACAAGTGCAGCACATCCAGACAAAATCATCGTGACTCTTTTTAGTGCCTGCTTTCCTCTCCGAAGATTGCAGCATACACTAGAGCAATGGTGGCGCCATCTTCCAGAAGCCCAAGAGTTGGGCTCTCCATGAAAGCTTAGGTTATGTTTTCATTAACGTGTATGCATGTGGCTGTGTGTGTAATCTCTTTGGAAAATCCTGTGGCTTAGCATATCTGCTGTAAGCTACTTAAGGATGAATCATTAAACAATGTACAGAAATATAGTGGTAAATATGTTCTGTATAGATTTCTTCACCATGTTAAAAACTGAATGTGAAGCTGGGTGTGGTAGTGTGTGCCTCGATCCTAGCACTAAGAGGCAGAGGCAGGAGGATCCCTGTGAGTTTAAGGGCAGTCCAGAGGTCTACAGGGAGAGTTTACATAGCGAGACCCTATCTCTAGAACTAAATTAAATATGCATAGAAGTATGAAGTAGATATGACATGCTCATGTTTTTGGAATATTTACCATTTGCCATGCTTTACAAGGCCCTTTAATGACACAGGAAACACTCACTATTAGACATGTGAGACCACAGTAATTTCATAAGCATGTTTGTATAAAGTTAATTAAGATTCATGTAGACTTTAGCGAAACAGGTCAATTAAAAAGTCATAACTGAAGGTAAAGGGTGCTGTCTTTGATCACCATGATTATGCCCGCTTGCCTTTTGTTTTTGGGTCAGAAACAGCCATATGATGAAATGCTAAATTACATAAATCATAATACATTCAGAAAAGCACTTTTATGAATATTACATTATATAAAATTCAAAGATATATACTGAATTAAGGGTCATTTAGCATAGCAATATTTAGTATAAAAATCACAAATAGGGCTGGGTAGTGGTGGTGCATGCCTTTAATCCCAGCACTTGGGAGTCAGAGGTAGGCAGATCTTTATGAGTTCAAGGCCAGCCTGGTCTACAAAGTGAATTCTCAGACAGCCAGGGCTACACAGAGAAACCCTGTCTCAAAAAAATCAAAAAAGAAAGAAGTCACAAATAATTACTTGGAGATTTTTGCAAGGGAATACAACCTAGGAAGTGTAGGGAACCAAAGTGACTGTGACCTCACACACTGAACTACTGTGGGCACTGTGGCTGGGACTTTTTCCGAAGGCTATGTGTGCTGAGCTACCAGTCCTCCTGTTGTCCTGGCTGTGAGTCCACGGACCCCAGTGAAGCTGGCTGAGAGGCCCCTGGGTACTGCTGAGCAGGGGCTCCAGCCTAGACTGCAGGCCTGAGAGGAGAGCGTGTGGGGAGGCGTCTCTAGAGGAGGATGTGTGGTTAAAACAGGTCTCAACATGGGGGCTGGGCTAGGGTTGGAAGCGTGCCAGCAGACAGCCACACACACGTAGTCCCCCACGTACTGCGGTGACAAGAAATTGGGGACACTACTGTGAGCACACAGCTGAAAAAGACTCAAGGAGGGGGGCAGAGGAGGAGGAAGTCTGACCTTGGAGGTGGGTGTACTGGACAGAGACAAGGTGTGGGGTGCCCAGGCCCCAGGCTCGTCCCCAAGCCCGCAGCTAATGACGTCAGCTGTTACATCAAGGTTCTATGAGACCACTGTGCTGGGGTCAACTGTTGGACAAGCACCCAAGGTAATGGTGGAAGACCTAGGTAGGTCCTGATTTCATTTCTTTCCCAAACAGAGTATCAAATGGCAGGATTTCTATGAATGAATGTTCTGGAAAACTCAGCCACCTGGGGGTGCTGTGCTATGGAGCTGCCAGCAGTGTTTGGGCTTCCCCTTGTACTGTATTATACTTTGTTTTGTTTTTGAGAAAGGTCTCCGGTAGCCCAGGCTAGCCTCAAAGTCACTATATACCCAAGGATGACCTTGAACTTCTGACCCAAGTGCTGAGATTACAGGTGTGTACCACCATGCCTGGTTTATATGGTGCTGGTGACCTGAGTCAGGGCTTCACGCACACAGGCAAGCCTCTACCAACAGAGCCACGCCCCCAGCTTCCCCTCTAAAGCTTTAATGCTTCAGACATGTCAGACCAGTTGTCACGTTCCCTTGCCTCACACAGCTGATGACTGCTCAGGAGAGACACATCACAACAGATATTTGTCAAACAAAATCTAGGGCCAGCAGCTCACAGGGTACGCACACAGAGGGAGGTCATACAGACAGCGTGCTCGGTTCCTCTGAGGAGGCCGACTCAGCTGGACACGGAGGCTTCCACAGACAGAAAAGCACCTGCAAAGGTCCTGGGGCAGGAGAACAGGGAGCTGCCACGAGGGGCTGTGGAAAGAGCGCAGTTGCTTAGACTTAATGATGAGGCTGGTGCAGAGAGAGGCTTGACAGGCAGGCAGAGGGGGTGTGGAGGCTGCGGAAAGTCGTTCGTTTTTCTACTCTTGCTGAAAGCCAAGGATGGCTGCCGAATGACACCATACCATGTAGAGAAAGGAATAGCCACAGGATTATTTAACCTGCCCCCAACCCTCAACCCTGGTCCTCGAGGGTACGCTTACCCACTTGCATGAGCAGGCCTTCTGAGCAAGCTCTCCTTTGAGGAAAAAGCAACTCCTTTCTCTCCCCTCAAAAGCAACAGCGTTTTCTAGCAACTATGATAAGGAATGCAGGGTTTTGCTCATTTGTTCTGCTTTTGAAGGCCTCATGGTCAACAGATCTCATTTTCCAATGCTCACCTGTTACCCATGCTACCTAAAGTTCAGGGCCCAGAGAGGGCAGAAAGAAGGTTGGCTCTAGAAGAGTAAGATGTTACACTAATGACGCATTCTTCACATCTGAGACAGAAAGAGGCCAGGAATCCACATTGCTTCCTTGTCGTACGATGCCTTCCTGTGTATAACAGTGGCAACCGAGCAGTTCTGGTGTATACAGAAGCATCGTAAGCTATGTGGGTGATCTGGTGTGGCTAAAATTCAAAGGTGTATTCTACACTAGTTTGCCTGAGTGGTTTCTTCCACTTTCAAGTAGAAATCTGGAAGTCTGTATTTAAACCCTCAGTTGTTTTCAAGCACCCTCAAGCAGCAAGAGTGTCTTCATGCACATGAAAGAGCATTCTAGAGGCCGGAATATGCACACAACTCAACAGCCTGTGGTTTCCAGTTTCAATTTTCTTAAATGAAATACATCTCCCCTTCCAGACGTTTCCAGAGCATTCTGAGAAAAGTATAAAAGGAAGGCGCCGCATTCTTCTCCGATTCTGTCACCCACGTCTTCAGATGAGCATCATTTTAGCTGGAAACAGCCAGAGGCTCACTTACCATGCCCCGGACAGCCGCTGAACTCGCCCCCTCTTCGTCTTCCCCGTCTGCCTCCTGGTCTTCGTTGTCAGTCCAGGAGGACACATCCTCCGCTGAGCTAGTCAGGTCAGGTAAGCTCTTTGACGTGAACCTCAGGAGGTCCTCCGCTGAGCTCTCCTAAGAGGATACATGAAAGGCCCAGGAATTACCCCTGGGAACCAGCTGCTGAAGGAAGGCAATGTGATGAGGCCAGCCACAAGCTCTGACCCAGAGAGCACGTGGAGTTTATGGTCCACATGTGTGGTGCCACCACCAACGCATCAGGGATGGTGACACAATTTAAAGCCAAAGCAGAAACTCAAGAATCTGAGTTTCTAAGGTTAGCGCGCCCATGAGCCTCTCTTGTCGCTCTTCAGGTGACTCAAGTCCTCTCATGAGCAGTTCCACAGCTGAAAGAGCTGGCTCCCCTTCCCTTCCTCTTGCCTCATACTCCATTCAAATCATTTCTAGTCCTCCTGGCCTGCCATCCACTCCCTGGACCACTCACGACGGTGGCCCTACTCAGAAGAGTGTGGACATTCATTTGCACCATCAGGACCATCTCGGGAGGCATTCTGTTAGAACCCTCTTAGGGCTGGAGAGCCTAGGGCTGGCGGCACAGCCTGATGGTGGAGCACTCACTCAGCATGTGGGAGGCCTTCGCTTTGCTTGACACACACCACTAGTCTTGCCCTTTGGTCTCCAGCCTTTGGCTGTTTCTTTCAACCTCTGAAACATCTCTAATTCCACTTGTCTTTCTCCCTGTGTGCCTACCACTTCCATGCACCATTTCTAATTAGCCGAATGTGCACAATGTCCTTCTCCCTGCCCCACTGGCTACCTTACTCGCACGTGCTCAGTAAAGAGAGTCTATTACAGAATCAAGATGCCAACCTGAAGACACGCTGATGTCTTTTCAATGAAAGCAGCTCCTGAACAACTTTTCAAGACAAATATTAGCACATGGACTCAGTCTCCATTATGTTTAGACTCCAAGAGGTGCCCTTTGCTCCTGCCTAGAGATGGCCGAGCCGGTGTGGATGCAGGTGAGATGGTCGTGATACCCAGGAGCACCCAGGAGCACCCAGGAGCCTGGCACTCTTCCTAGAAAGGCTACCAGACACCAAGGCCAGGGATGGGCAGTAGTGAAGCACTGGGCCCCAGAAAGATGGCACGGTTTTCTCCTCATCTCCTCATCTCCTCATTGTAGGCACTTCTACAGGGAGTGGAATGTGCCACAAAGTTTGAACCATCAAATTGCTTGACTATCTGTAGACTAGAGGACAAGAGCCGAAACCAACTATGAAGTTGTAATAGACACGACAAGTTTTTAGTGATTTGGCATCTAAAGTCAGCAATGCTTGTCACCAACTCTCGATGCCATTTGCAACCTCAGGGAATGTGAAGAACAGTCACTTTAGGCAAACACTTTGGGCTTAGAACAGTCACTTTATACCAGCAATTGTGAGCACTGCACTGTTTGTCTCCGAGGTAATGAAGTCAGTGGGAAAAAGGTGAGTCTGCTTCTCTTCTATGTTGTCTGCTCTGTTGGACCATCAATAAGAAAGAGTTAAAAAAAAAAAAAAAGAAGGTGGTGGCCCTAACAGGTGAGTAAATCACAGAGAAGTCATGAGATGGACTATGCCATGGCCTTGCAAAGTGGAGCCGAGATGTACTTCTCCTGGGAAAGAGTCTGGCACGATGCTGCCTCGTGGGCAGATGAATTAAAACATGTGCAACAGCCACGTGTGTGATTAGACTACAGGGGCTCTTATATGGCAAAGAGGAGGACAGTCACTCCTCTGCTTCTCCCCTTGGCTAGCTGCACTGCTCAAGGCTTCACTGCCCCCTTCAAGCTTTGTGACATCCTCAGAGGTGGCTCCTGGTCTCATCATGCAGTCAGGAAACTGGGACTTAAACATGCAATGGCTTGCCCAGAATACAGGTTTTCTCAGGGTGGAGCTGGCATGTAGGTCCAGGTGGGATGGGCTCCAAGATGCACTGTCTCTTTGAAAAGGAAATATGGGCATGCACATCAATCACACACACACACACACACACACACACACACACACACACACACACACACACACACACACATCAAAATCACCCTGGCTATCCTGGTTTTGCTTTTTTATTGCTGTGATAAAAAATGGACTAAAAGCCTGGTGTGGTGGTGCATGCCTTTAATCCCAGCACAAGGGAGGCAGAGGCAGAGGCAGGCAGATCTCTGTAAGAGGCCAGCCTGGTCTACAGATGGAGTTCAGGACCGCCAGGGCTATGTATAAAGAACCTGTTTCTCCCCACCTTCCCCCCCCCAAAAAAAAAGACAAAACAAAAACAAACAAAAAAGGACTAAGCAAATTGGGCTAGAACGGATTTGGCTCACATGTCTTTATCACTGTCTGTCACAAAGAGAAGTTAGAACTCCCAGCAAGGACCTGGAGACAGGAACTGAAGCAGAGGCCATAGCAAAATGCCACTTCCTGGCCTCGCTCTCCATGGCATGCTCAATTTGACTTCACAGAACCCAAGGCAACCTGCTCAAGGGTGACACTTCCCAGGGTGCTGGGCACTACCACATCAATCATCAATCAGGGAAATGTTGGCACAGATGTGCCTATGGGTCAATCTTGAGGAATTCCCCCCCCCCACCTGAGGCTCTCTTTTCCCAGAGCACCCTGACTTAGTCAAATTGACAAAAACGCTAACCAGGACACTGGCAAGCCTGACTTCACAGCACAGATGTCCTGGCCTTTTCTGTGATACTGGCTAACAACTTGTTTCTGTGGCACTCTCTCCAAGTGCAGTAATGACACTTCCAGACAATGCCTTAACGTTTTGTGACAAGCTCCCTAGCTCTAGAATAGTAAGATTTTACATTTGTATTATTATTTATGATCAGGTCAGAAACTCTCCGATTCTTCATACCCCAGGTATGAAGACAAAACAAAGCCTCTGGCTGTCCTATTCTTGATAAAGAGGAGGAACGGTTGGTGCCAGGAGGAGCCTGAAGATGGATGCCCCTCTTCCTTCCTTCGGGACAGTTGGGGACAAGGTTAAGTAGCAGCAGGCTGGACAGCTGACAGCCTGAGTGTAAACAGGACACACGACACAGACTAAAGGTGTTCTTTCTAAGGTCTGGGTCAGGTGCCCAGGAGCCCATGGACCGAGAATTGGTTCCTGAAAGTTGCTCAGCCCTACAGGACTTTGCAAAAGGCAAAGCCTCTGGGAGGAGCACGCAGTCTTTTTCTGACACCATGCTGTGATTTTTTTTAATCTTCTGTACCTCTAGGGCAGCTGGGTGTATGGAAGCTGCAGAAAATTCACAATCCACCGGACTTGGCAGAAAACCTGCTTTTGTCTACTGCAGGGGACCTTGGGGGAAGTTAAATAACCACTGGGATTTAAATGGAAACCTTTGAATAAAAAGAGCATACATCTGCCTCAAGGGATTGGTTTAGAATCTAGTGAGATGATTTTAGTATTTGGCAACCATTATACACTCTGTCTTTCTTCTTTTAAGGTCAGAGTAGGGTGGAGGGTGTGACATCACTGGGGACCATATTTTTAAGGTCCTGTGAATGTCCCTCATATGGCAACAGCATAGTTCTGTACAAAGCTAATTTGTCTGTGGTCTCATAGATTCTCCCAGCCAGTCAGCAGTGAACCATTCTTATCTTTGTCTCCTGCTTTCTCTGTGTTTGTGGATAACAGCTTAGCACAGGAAAGACACCCCCCTTTTCACCTTTCAAAGTTAGCAGGTGAAAGCAGGCAGCATGGAAATGAGGCTGTGATCACAGGGAGTGGCACTATTAGGTGTGGCTTTGTTGGAGTAGCTATGCTCCGTTGGAGGAAGTGTGTCACTGTAGGGGTGGGTTTTGAGGTCTCCTTCGCTCAAGCTTCTCTCAGTGTGACACTCAGACCACTTCCTGTTTCCTTCGCATCAAGAGATGCAGGACACTCAGCTCCTTCTCCAGCACCACGTCTGCCTGCACGCTGCCATGTCCCACCATGATGATAATGGACTAAACCTCTGAAAATGTAAGCCACCCCAATGAAGTGTGTTTCCTTTATTGGTGCCTTTTCACAACAACAGAAACCCTGACTAAAACAGATGGTACACTGCACAATCCTGGGCAGAAACTCAAAGTTTTGAGCTGCTCCCTGTCCAAGGTGACTGTGCAAATGCTGCAAACACAGGACTGTGTGCAAGACCTAGGGATGCTTTCAAACTCCCGATCTCTCCTTCCCTTGAAGCACTTCCTCTTCCAGTGAGGAGTAGTCAGCAGGGGGCAGGAAACCCCCAGAATATCTATTCTCCCTAGCAAGGGATGCCGATAGCCCTCGGGGTATCAAAGACTCAAGAGAAGTTCCCAGGGCTCTATAGGAAGGAAAGGACTACCAGGCAGAATGTGCTCAGCTGTCTTTGGGCTTACAGCCTTCACCAAGCCTGTGCCTTTGCAAACCTAACATTCTAGTTAGAGGTTTGGGATAAAAGGTACAAGGCAGGCAGTTTTTTCAGATAGCTAAAAATAGAATCCTAATCTAGCAAACACAAACACACAAACACACACACACACAGTCTTTTGTTACCTGTGAGAGACTTCTCACAGACACTAGAGTCCAAGGGTATTCAAATCCCTCCTATGAAATGACGTAATAGTTGTATAAAGCCTATATACATCTTTTTGTACACTTTAAATCATTTCCAGGTTGCCAGTGCAATATGAATACTCTTTAAATAGCCACTCTATTGTTTAAGGAACAACAATGGAAGGGGTGGAAGGGAGAGTCTGTGTTCGGTAAAGATGCAATTGCTATTATAATTTCCATGGGAGGTTGATTGATCCTATGGATGGAGACTCATGGATATGGAGAACCAATTGTGCTCTTCAAACTGGCAACAAATCTCATAACCTAAGAAGGAAAAATTTGTGGAAATATACAGATGCAAAGCTCCAAATAAAATTGGGGAGCTGGAAAAGGAATTAGAAGAACTGGCAAAGGCCTCTTACGCAAAGCTAAGATGTGTGCAGCCTCGCACCGATTCTCCTGGCCAGCAAATTAGAGGCAGACACAGCCCCAAGGCTCCACCTTACTTGCTCCTGAGTCATATGGCCTCTTTACTAGTCTCAAACAGCACAGCCAGAGGACACAGCCGAAAGGAGTCATTGTCTCCTGTCCTTGTCAGACTTGTGGCATCAGCAGCCTCTCTCTAGCAGTAGAAGGCAGATGCTGGGAGCCCATGACATAGTCATCACATTAACACACACAGGTGAAAGAAGTCCCAACTGGGGGGCTCCAGGATCCCATGAAGACAGTGAAAACCAGAAGGGACCCGGGGCAGCAGAATGGGACAGACAGAGGGCTGTGTGCCTGGCACCGCTGATGGCACCATGACCTCTGCAAGATGGCAGCCACTGTGGATGATCTTTTTTTTACCACCTTATCCATACAGCTGGGGAGGAAGGAAGGAAAGATGGAGGGGGCTGAACAAAGAAGGCACCAAGTTTCCTCCAACTTGAGCATTGTAAGGGCAATAGGACCAGGGCCCCTGTGCTGTCTGCCCATGGACAGCCCTGAGATTTCCTTCATTCCGGCCTTAGAAGATGCATCCCTCCCTGCTGTGGTTTGGATGTGAAGTGTCATGCCATCATGTCCCATGTCCCATGTCCGTCCCACACCCCACCCCCAACTATGCTGAAGGCCTGGTGCTTGGTGCAGTAGATCCTGAGGGTTCTCACCTGATCAACTGACAAGTCCGCGGATGGACTCGTGGTTGGAGTACCGGGAGGGGGGAGAAACTGAAAGATGGACCTGATTGGACTGCGTGGGTCACTGGGTGCAAACCTTTGAAGGGTCTCTTCAGGCCTCGGTGTCTTCGTTTCCTGATGGCCATGAGGGTGGACAGCTTTCCTCTGCCCAGCACACTTTTCTGCCGGGACGTTTCTGTCTGGCCACAGGCCCGAGCAGTGGACCCAGCTGACCACAGACTGAAGGCGTGAGCCCAAATAATTCCTTGTTTTTGAATTATTTATTTCAGGTATTTCATTAGAGTGACAAAGAAAGAATCCTCCCAGTCTCCTCCTTCCATGCTTCTGCACCTCCCCTTCCTTGCCTTCTCCTTCATTCTATTAGGGCTTTTCTACCAACAGCCATCTTTAACAACTGGAATAATTGAGCATACTTCAGTGACGGGTCTTCACATGTACTCACTCGGGGGCATCACGGCCACTGCACAGCCCAAGGTAAGCTGTAAGCATGCTTGTATCTGTTTGTCATGGGAAAAGCACACACCCATCTCATAGCAGCACTATAAATACTAAGAATGACAAAAACGACCTACCTTGCTGGCCACCACCAGCTGTACCATCCCAGTGGCTGAACGTAGAATGGCCACAGCTTCCTCGTGGGAGAGCCCGACCAGTAAGTGACCATTGATCACCAGCAGTTCGTCTCCTAAGGACAGCCTGCCATCCCTGAGGAAATGGAGAGGTGGGGAAAACCCCTTGTCAAGACATTCTGGGCCAGAGAAGGATCATCTTCTAGGAGCTGGGCAAAGTCACGAGAAGGGACAATTGCGACTGGATAGAAGAGGAGCAGTGACGACCAGAGACGGTTTGGGGTGGGACTGCTTTAACTTCAGGATTTAGACTCCCAGGAGGAGAGTGAAAATCTCCAGGATTCTTGACGGCCCCTTAGCAATAACTTGCTCTTAGGCATCCCTGACACAAGTATCAATGACACTTCATCTGGATGATCACTGTGATAAAGCATCTAAGACCTTTGGGTTTTAGGAGAGTCAAGTCATTCTTTCCCTAATCCTCCCTGTCATCAGCTCAGGGCTATTGCTAAGCCAAGCACAGACAGTGCCAGGACACACTAAGCCCACCTGCAGACCTTTGCTGGTCTGTTGCCCCTCATCAGACAGAGGCAGAGTTCCTTCTGGGAAACCGGGGACCGATGCTATGTCGTGAATGTCGGTACCTCCCTACCCCACCAGCACCTTGAAGAAAAGTTTCTCAAGGCTTATTTCACCCCTGGGTCCCCACAGACAAACTACATAAGCAGAAGGATCAATCACAATAATAAACTGTTCAATTTGCTGTTGTTAGAGGTTTAAGACTGGGCCCAGTTCTATGGGTTGTAAAAACTCTTTCTTTTCATGTAAATTCGGGCTGGCTCTGGGCTTCCTCTCACTGGCTAACAGGAGACTCTGCTGTCACTGGACTGTCTCCTCAGGGCAGGTCACGGCCCTCAGTGAACACAAGTCTAGAACACTACACGAGCTTCTGCAGTGGACTCCACTGAGCTGATGATGGTCTGGTTTCCCATGACCAAAAATGGAGCCTGAAGCTCAGACCACGGCCCAGGGGTCCACCCTCCTCTCAAGGTTCTCCACCACCTCCCAGGTGCTGCCATGAAACCTGGGCAGTCTTGAACCCTCCCAGACCCTCCCAGCACTCTTCTGTGCTTCCTCCCAGTGAATCCACCAATTTCTCCCCTTCCTTCTTCCTTCAACAGCATCTCTCTTGCTGCCTCCTTCCTCTAGGGCACATGCGATAATCTTTTTTTTTTTAATGAGTGTAGGGCTTAATAAAAAACAAGAAGCACAAGGGACTCCTGACAGCCTCTGTCTTCAAAAATCCCTAAAGTAGAGCAGTGCTTAGGGTCCCACTAGTGATTTAGTACGGTGAAAGAGAGGGGATGGGAAAGTCATGAGGGAGAGACACACTGGAATCTCAAGGAGGTATATGGGTAGGGGGCTGAGCCTACGGGATGAGGAGGACCAGGCATAGACAAGTCAATGGTCCTGCTTTCCTTATTCACAACACCAAAGCATCCCAGCCCATTGCTCTCCTTATTCCTTTTAATTGCATTTCTTTCATCTCCTGTTATTAATTAGAATGCCCCACCAATGAGTCATATACCACAGAGAAGACACACACACACACACACACACACACACCACGATATGAGTGAAAAGGATATGGACTGATTTAGCCATAGCCCCGATGGGAAAGTGACAAGAGCATCTCCCATGTTTCTCTCTGAGCACAGGAATTTCCCAATTGCTAACCCGCCAATCGAGCAGAACATAAGACATAGCATTAATGGGAAAGCAGCTAGCTGTTGAGAGTTCCTTACGGCACATCAGCAATGCCAGTCAGGGAGTTTAATGATGCTCACCTGGGCTAAAACTATCCGAGGTCTTACTCTCTTAATGACACCATCACGTGGATAATTGGCAGCTGTAGCTAATCTTACCACTCACGTAGTTTTTAGCATCCTGCTGTGTGAGGCTGAAGAGCAGGAATCAGTTTGCTAGTTTTCTTTCATTCAGCCCATATAACTCTAGCTCCTTCAACTACACTTTGGATGGTCATATCCCTCCTGGAATCTGACTAGCTTGCCTGAAGAGATTCCAGACTAGATGAAAGACAGTCACCTCTCTATCAGTGCAGCTCTCTTTGCGCTCTTACTGTATACATGTGGGCATGGCAGCATGCGTTTATGTCCTACCATGCCTTCTAAATAGTGGCTATCCCATATGAATGGAAGCAATAGCAGGGCAAGCACTACACTTGACATTTGAGGATGGTCATGAATCAGATAACTTTCTCTTTTTGTGCTCCGGCTGAACCCTCTTCCTCTAATACTTCATACAATTGTTTCAGATCAAAAAATACCCTTTTAAGTACCTTTTAGGTTACATGGAGAAGATTCACTTTTTTTTTCTCCTTCATGTGCAACAGAGACATGTGACTTCAAAGCACATGTGAGCATGTGGGAAACTCTGAAAGACGTGACACATTTGTGTGGTGGTCACATTTTGAACCAAGACCACTTTTCCTGAGTTGTTCGTCCTGGACTCACAGGACTTCAGATGTCCCTCCGTTCAGGGGCATTTTCTTGACAAGTAACCACATGTTACAACAGTGAGTGCCAGCATTCCAAGGGTTAGGATAAGTAAGTAATCTAAAAGGGAGAACAAAGAAATCGAATCTGCTCCTCAAGTGTCCTCCCTAATGAGCCACTTCCTGTGCTCAGAGATGTGTTCAGTCAGAACCGCTCTTACCCGTTTCCCCCCTGGGCTCCCACAGATGAGCTTTGATCAAGGGAAAAGCACTAGCACCCAACACCGGAGGGAAGGGGGAGGAGGAAGACAGAGGCAGAGGGATGGGGGGAGTTATCTAGTCACCTGTGAGCAGCACCTCCTTCCTTCACTTGGGTGACAACGATAGCGTGAGGTGAGCGCTTTGATCCTCGGCCTCCACTAACCTGAATTCCCAGCCCATCTGTTTCTTTGAGTAGCTCCATCTTCCATATCCGGCCAACTTCCTCCTTGGAAGAGAAAGTGCACGCATGAAGGATGTTGACACACACAGTACCATCATGGAAGGCTGGCCCTGTCACATCAGGCCAAGCATCTATCACAAGTCAGCACACAAGAGAAGGCCTCTGTTGACTGAACCCAAGTCTGGCAGTCAGTGCTGTCCCATAGAACCTTCTAGAATAACGGAAATGCTCTCTGGGTCATTCTATAGGATGTCACTGTCCATATGTGGCTATGGAGAGTTTGAAAATGTGTGGTGGCGGCCGAATGTTCAGTTTTTAGCTTCAGGGAATTCTAATTGGTTCAATAGCCATCCCAGTCACGGGCTGTGTCCTGTGGACAACACATCTTCCCCACGGGTGCAGGTGCCACCATGTATACAAAAACTGGTTTACTCTGGGGTCCTTTTACTTCTGTACAGCTGCTAATACATACAGGAAGGTGAAATGAAGACAGCTTGGCTCAGGTTTGGGTACCAGGAAACCTCAAGTAGTTTGCAGGATACTCTGCCACTTCTAACTTAGAGAGCCACCCAATACGTAAAAAAACTTTCCTTGACTCGGAGGTGAGAGTCATTATTACTATTTTGAGGCTTGTTGTAGGGTGTTCAAGGAAACATCCATGGAAACGGGTGAGGCTGAGCAGATAGATGTATGGCAGATTTTGATGGGGAACTATATACTCCTTCGCTGACTATCCCTCATCAGAGATGCATGGGACCAAAAGCGTTTCAGATTTCTTCGCATTTTGGAATATCTACACAAGCATAATGAGACATTTAGGGGTTGGAGTCCAAAGTTAACTCAAAATTCCTTTGTTTCATATGTACCTTATGTAGACTAAAGGTAATCATTCAGTGTTTTTCGTCCAGCTTTGTCATCTTAACTGTGACCCGTTACAAAGGTCACAGTGTGGAATTTTCCACTTACAGTGTCACAGTAACTTTTGGATTTCAAGAGTATTTTTGATGTTCAGATCAGGATCACTTGATCATATAACCAACCATGTAAGAACAAATGGAATTGAATGTCACACTTCCTTAAAACACGCAGATGAGAAACCCAAACAGAAGATTGATGAACTTAATACTGAGTGTTGGTCAACAGGGCAGGTGGCAGCACTGATTTGCAAACTACTTAATCATGAAATCATGCTTGAACCCTTATCAAAAACTGTCCTTTATCCAAGGCTGATACCTTCTCCAAGCCCTCGTGTTGCTGGTTGCTTTTTAGTTTTGGTTTTTTCTCCACTGGAATTCCTGTTTCATGCTAAAGACACGAACAAGCCCCTGCAAAATATCTACATTCTTTGAGACACTTCAGTGTTCAGAGATATTAAATTACAGTTTTTTCCAAGACATGTTTTCGCTGTGTAGCTTTGGAGCCTTTCCTGGAACTAGCTCTCGTAGACTAGCCTGGCCTTGAACTCACAGAGATTCACTAGCCTCTGCCTCCCAAGTGCTGGGATTAAAGGTGTGCACCATTACTGCCCAGAAAATTATAAAATCTTAGAAAAGAGGAAAAGATTGTGTGTGTGTGTGTGTGTGTGTGTGTGTATATCTGTCTGTCTGTCTATCGTGTGCCCATGTATACAAGTGCCACAGAGAACAGAAGAAGGCATCAAACCTCCTGGACTTGGAGTGACAGGCAGTTGTAAGTTGTATGATGTGGGTTCTGGGAACTGAACTACAGCCCTCTTAACCACTGAGCAATCTCTCTAGACCCATAAACATCTTTAGAGGTGATTTTTTTTAAGTTTAGGCTCAGTCATGCATGTGTGTGTGTATATTATTATTGTTGTTGTCATCATTATTATTATTATTGCTTGCGTTATGGCCATGAGTCACAGCACACTCCCTAACAGCTGCCTTTTTAACTCATCATGAAGGTTCAGTGGAACTACTAGGATCCTGTACGAACCAAGCTCTCATCCCCCTGGAAACAGGCAACCTGCCCACGAGAGCTGCTTACAAAACAGAAAGAATGTGGAACATTTTGAAAACCTGAAATCCACACTGCCAGAAACTGAAGTGAAACTGTATGAATAGCAAAAGGCCCGGACGCTGAACAACCACTGATGTGCAGCAATTGGAATGTCTGGGGAAATTACTACCCGGCAGAGACCTGGTGGGTCCCATACTTCTGTATAGTGCTGCCTGGTGGGGCGCCACGGTTCCAGAAGCATGCAGCAGTGCCAACTGTCTCCTCCATCCACTGACCACAGGCAAATGCAGCCTGTCTGGCCAAATGCAACTTCAGAAGTCACTGGCTTACCACAGTAGTTCATGAACTTGTCAACGGGCCCTATTTCATCCAATCCTCTTTCTCTCTGAACGCCACAGTTTTGGTTTGCTGCCTCTGACCTCTGGAACACCTTCCTCTTCTCCATTCAGAAACACCCTTCCCTGGCCTCCACATCTCCCGTAGCCCCACCGTTTCCAAAAGTCATCCTTGGAATCAGAGTGACTGCCAAGGTAGCAGCTTGCAATAGCTCCAACACAGGAGACCCGGCATCCGAGCACACACCAGTGGAAAGACCAGATTCAGGATGTGCTGGTCAGTGTCTATGCTGTTCAGCTGCAACTCCCATGCTAGCATCCCAAAAGTTCTCCTGGCTGCCTCTCTGGTCTCAGGAGAGCAAGACAGTGGCTTTCCTTTCTCCTCCCTGGGTTCTAGCAGATGAGACACCATTTCTTCTCCCCAAGCCAAGGAAACCCATGGCTTTTTCAAAGAGCAATGGGGGTGCATTACTGGAGTAATGAACTCAAAAGGAAACTCATTTTTGTTTTAGCCCAGAGTTATAAAAATGTATCTGCCCCCATTATTAGTTCATGTCATCATCTTCTTTTCCCATCTTGCTGTCCTTGTGTTAAGAGAATCTGTAGGTATGGTTCACAGAGCAGATGACACTAGACTTGCTCCTTCTCGGTTTTTAAATGCTTCAAAAAAGTAGGACCCATGATTTAAAAAGCAAACGTATGAAACTGTGCCCACAGAAACATTCACTACTACACAGCCAGGGGAAACGTTTTAGAAGGACAGGGAATGACATTGCCTGCTTATACCCCTCAGGGACTTCAGCTAGCCCTGGGCTGGGAACAAGGTACACACTTTGTGTTGGTGGACATGGATGGCCTTTCTATAGTGCACATTACATTGGTAAACTGTCATGGGTGGTTTGAGCCTATTGAGGAGCTGGTCCTCGAATGGAATTTGTTCCTCCCTATTTTAGAACCAAGTTCATCTCAAAGTGTCTCCCATGTCTGGGGATGGACTGGCCACCCTACCATTGTAGCAGGAAGGCAAAACAACACAGGGGTAACAACTTTTGAGAACAACTAGGAGGAGAACCCATTCCAAGAAACATTGCTGTTGTCCATCCATGGGGGCAAAAATGCCTACAGTGGGGAGGAAAAGCTGGAAGGTGAGCCATTGGAAGCTCAGCTGTGGACTGAGAGAAAGTTCAGTCCGGACTCCAGCAGACGGTCTCAACATCCCCCAGCCAGTTTGCACCAGACACTGTGAGCTCCAGATTTGATGGTGTTACTGCTATCTGTTGCCTTTTGTTCTTTTTCTTGGAAGCCTCACTGGAGGGGCCACTGGTCTCCTCTGAATTCTCTTTATTGGGACTCCAACTGGCTGCCTTAAAGGGGCTTCCCCATTTGATTTCTGCTGGATGTTCCGAGAGCTCGGTTTAATGATGTTTTTCTTCTCTGTCTAATGCTGTACACTCTTTTACTCCAGCTGGCTATACACTTAATCAACTCACTCATTGAAAAGTGAGTGCTACTGTTACCACAGGTCATGCTCTGGACTGTACAGAATACCTTTGTAAGCTAGCCTGTCAACCTGTGTCCTCCCCTAGGGCATTTCTCATTCCTGGGACACCCTAATGCTCCTGCTATTTGCAGCTGTGTTTGCTGCTTCTCCTGGGACCTTCTTGTAGGGCTGTTCCTCCATGACACAGCTCAACTCATACACCACCTCTTTAGGGAGCTTGCTTGTCTTTGTTGACACCTGATATCAACTATCCCTGCAGGTGACATGTCTTGCCATCTCCCTCTTCACTTTGGTTTAGTTCACTGATGATACTTGTCATTATCTGGTATTCTATAGGCTTCTTTATTGCCTATAGCCCCATCTATGCTGTAAATGCCATTGAGACAGGAATCCGGTCTAGCTCACTTACCAAATGGATTCTCTAGCAGTAAGAACAACAACAATATTCTGTAAGTGTAAAGAAAGTAACCAGTCTGGAGTGCTTATCCACAAATCTTAGGGTTCTCTGGGCACCACCGAGATTAAACATTAAGAGGTTCTTCTGGAAGGCACCGGTATGTTTGCCAATGATCAGCATGTAGGACACAAATTCAGCTCCAGAGATGACAGCTAGAATTCCAAGACAGGCCCTGTCTAGACAGCTGGCTTGGACATTAGTTTCCTATTATAATGGCTGTAAGGGCAATGATACTCTGAATTTATGGAGAAAAATCTGAACAATGAAAAACAGGCTGCTGTGGTCTTCTGTACTAATGTCAGAGCGTTAGCCTCCGCTGTGAACCACAACTCCTGTGTGAGTTCACACATGCAGTACTTTCCCTGAAGCCAGCATGGGGATTTGTTTACAAAAACAGAGCAGCACGGTGGAGAGCTGCCATGCATCGTTTAAATGGCCTAATTTCTCCTGGAAGCCAAAATAGCCTTTTACAGCAGCATCTTTGCCCCAAATGTGAGAAGACACATCATCGAAACAGAATTTCACTGCAGTAAATGTCTTGACCCTCACTGCAAACCTATTCTGAGACCATTTACTTATTCCTTTTTATTTAGGATGATCAGTAAGAAATGAATGTGTGATCACAATGTCAGGGCTTAAAGTCCCTTGGTCATCAGGCCACAGTGCGCAGCTTATAGACAAGAAAACAGCCCAGAGAAGAGCCAAGGCAGCTGGGAGGCCACAGAGATGTGGGCAGAACTGGAAGCCACCGTGCTATCCCTGGGCATCTTCA